TCTTGACACATCTGCAATCAATCCACACATATCTACATATATTTCAGTGGCAAAGCCTGTAAAATTTGCCACTGGCATTTGGTTCACTTCAAACTGAGTTTGCTCCAACTATCCATCATTATTGCTCCCTGAAGGTAGATACCAGCAGCATCACATGCAAAATTTGGACCATAAATGTGGCTCCATAATTCCTACCAGAAACCTGGTAGAACAGGTGTGACTACAACGACCCAAGAAAGAAATAGACAAGTAATGACTAGTAAAAGTTATTGCTGAAGGAAAATAATTTTGAGTGCTGGTCAGGGTAGACACTCTCTAAGTCTATAGGGAAAATGAACATTGCCTAACCAGAACTAACTTGGTGCATAGTTAAAACATCATACAAAAACTCAACTGACTTTGACGAACTGACTTTCCTGATAGAGGAAATTGCCACGTGGAGATGCTATAGAAGTAGAGACTTAAATGTTTGTAACCTATTCTCTTCTGAAGAACATGGGACAGAACCTTTTTCTCCGGATAAGTCTAATAATGTAGGCCACCAAGTTTGTTCTAGGAAAAGATGAACTATGTCTTGTACCAAGTGGGAGACGTGACATAAGTGAGTTGTGAGATTGAGGAATATCTTTTCAACCGTGGAGATGGAATAAGCAACAGACACCATTGTAGGCTTTATCTAGTCTAACCAAATGTGCCACCTCCTTGCATTTGCACCATCAATGCTAGTTCTTCGCTCATATACTCAATCATTTGGAATGGGCACAATTGGTAACATCTTAGCCAAGGGCCATTCTAGTATATGCTCTGCCTATTTCCAGATCTGATTTTTACAGTCCAAGGACTTGCAAGAAACTAGCTATTTCATACAGCTCCCAAGCGAAATACTAAGTCAGGGACAATGTAGAAAATGAAATGGGAAGAAGCTCCAATTGCCAGAGCCCTCTGAAACACACAGGGTACAGTGATGCAGGAAAGAGCTTGCCAATAATGATGGTTGTAGGGAGGCTTTTGAGCAAAAAGCTTTAGCAAAATAAAGTCTTAGCAAACCGTAGCACACAGAAACTAACCAGAAGTCCTGAAATGCCATATCTCTAATCATCTAAGTCCTGGCCAAAACTATTCTTAAATTAAAGAATTAATCCAGCCATATTTGCTCCCACTAGGTCCAACTATAGATAGAGGACATAATACTAGGAAAGCCTATTTTAGCTAAAATAGTTTATAGACAATGTTATAGGTTTAGGGTAGAACTCCAAGTCTTTGGCAGCAAAGCCATCTAGAAAGCTCTAAAACTTTCCTGACCTCTAAAGATTGTCTGAATTTTCATAGCCCAGATTTGGTAGCCCTCAATAAGGTGACTTGGTTGGCCAAACTGACTCTGAACATGACCTTTCTCTTTTTAACAAGCTACACAGAATTACATTTTTGTCGTGCATAATCAAACGTATAAAAGATTCCTGCCATTGCAGAACTTTGTCATTTGAACATTTACAATCTTAAGATTTTATCACTGGCCCTGACACCATCAATGGTTTCCTTTACTTTTAGCTATATGTTACTTATAACTATCTATCTGTTGATGCCTGCAGCCCTTGAAAAGCTCTGAATTGGGATAGTGACATTTAATTTAAGTTAATTGCTAGGCATTAGGCACCCTAATAAAGAGGCAATGTAAGAAAAGAAGAGCATATGGCTAATTAAAGGGGTTGTATCTTCAGATCCCCTGACACATTTCTTCCACAGTATGCCAACCTGTGGCACAAATTTAGCAGAAGAACAGCTTATTTGTCTGCTCAAGTAAAAATAGTCTCCAGGCAGCGTAAAGACTAACAAACTTTCAATGGCATAAATTTACATCATCAAGGTTTTTATGGGAACCCCAAGTGGCAAATACAGACAAACTATCTGCTAGCTGCTTTATATGATAACCAAGTCACTTTGTGACAACCACACCAAATTCTTTTCTTCCTCTGCTTTCTAGCACTGACAGAAGAGCATCAATTCCTACTTAGAAATATTCACAGAATTCATTCTCCTGGCATCTCATGCAATCTGTCCTGGCCACTAAAAAGCGATTTTGATGCCTTCACATCATCATTCAATCTAGTCATATATGAGACAAGTCAATCCTATTTGGGATTAATTTTGAGCGATTTGACTGATTTCAACAGAAAAGAGAGGAGGAGGAGATTATTTTTCTGGAAAATTGGCAACATAGAGAGAAGGAACTATTTTAGAATGAAGACTATGACAGTCAACTGGGGTAATGCAACAAGATTAATTGTTTGCATATTCTTCAATCCCCACCAATTCTACAATGTCTCTATCAAAAGAACCCAAAATGAGAGACTGGCAGTTGAATTTCTAAAAGGTGTCATCCATCCATTTGCACAACACCTATAAACTTAATCAAAGATTAGGGGTCAGCCTCAGTGATTTGTTTTCATATGTGATTTTGTTTCCTTTCTTAATTACTATAATAATCTCTATAGCTATAGCTTCTCAATTGGGTAATGATGAAAACTTGAAGTACAAATTGGATAAAATAACTTAATTACTTCCTTCTGGTCTCTACAATTATGTTCACATTGCTAACCACATTTTTAAAAAAATCTGTATTTTGTTAGCCAAGCCACAATTAGCTGGATTCACACATCACATAAGCTATAACTACAGGTGATATACCAGAATGGATATAACCATGACTTATAAAGTTATAAACCAAATTTTATTATAGCCTAGTAGTATATGCGATCCCAGTCCATAAGCTGATACAAATTCAGACTAGTATCTCCCACACCAAAACACACCTTACCTGTTACAGAAATTCTCATGGTTGCCTCCAAAGGTCTATTGTTATCCAGGGCTCTGCTCAAACGTAGTTCTCCAGTACTGTGGTTCAAGAGAACAAGTTTCAATTCATTGCCTTGCTCAAAACTGTATGTAAGACTATCAGAAACATCAGGATCATAGGCTGGGATCTTGCCAATCACTCCAGTGGGGAAACTGCTGGACTTGTTGGTGATGTAGTTATTGAATATGATCTCAAAGTTCTTCAAGACTGGAACATTGTCATTCTTATCCAGTAAGCGAACATGCACAGTAGCCCGGCTTACCAGTGGAGCTGAAGTAGCTTGGACTACTATGACATACTCAGACTTGGTCTCATAATCCAAATCCATCAGTGCTGTCAACTCTCCTGAGAAGATATCAAGTTGGAAGACCTCTGGAATATTACCTTCCACTATCTGATACATAATTTGAGCATTGGTACCCTCATCTGGATCACTGGCAGTGATTCGGGACACCACTAAACCTATTGGACTATTTTCTTCCACAAAGATGTCAAACTCATCATGCTCAAAGACAGGGGGGTTGTCATTGACATCAAGAATAGTGACATGGACATCAATTGGAGTCCTCATGGCTGGTACTCCTTTATCAACTGCATATGCTCTAAGCTCGTAGAGTGGAACATTTTCCCTGTCCAGTCTACGCAACGTCCTAACAATACCAGAGGTGGTTTCAATTATGAAGTCTCCATCACCATCATCTCCACCCTGAAAGGTATAGAACACTCTCCCATTCATCCCAGAGTCTCTATCTGTAGCAGAAACCTGTAGGACACTTGTGAAACCAGGTACATCCTCATAGACAGATCCTTGGTAATTATCCCTTAAAAACTGAGGGGCATTGTCATTGACATCATTAACTAGTATTTCTAGATAGGTGGTATCTGATTTCTGTGGGATGCCATTGTCACGAGCTGTAATTGCCAAAGTATAGGATACTTGGTCTTCGTAATCCAATTCCATCTGAGTTGTCACAGCACCAGTATCTATATCAATTTTAAACTGAGGAATACTATCTTCCATGAAGTAAGTGATGCGAGCATTCTCCCCTGTATCTTCATCCGTAGCACTGATAATAACTACGGTTGTACCCACTGGACTGTCCTCATTGATGTTAACAGTGTAATGGGAGCTCTGGAACACTGGCCGATGTGTATTAGCATCAGTTACATTAACAAAGACCTGAGCTGTGTCAAACCGAGTGCCATCAGAAGCTGTGATTGTAAGAAGGTACTGCCGTTCTAATTTATAATCCAAGGGTAGGGCCAGAGTGATGAGACCACCACCACTCTGGCTGGTGATGGAGAAGCGATTGCGAGTATTCCCATTCGTGATCTGATAGGTGATGACGCTGTTGACGTCCCGATCAATGGCTGAGACAATAAGAACACTGGTGCCCACCGCTGCATCTTCATTGAGACGCATGGTATATTCCCTTTGCGTGAATTCAGGATTGTTATCGTTGACATCCAAAACAGTAATACTAACACTTGCTGAAGAAGTCATTGGAGGGCTACCATGATCTCTGGCCTCAACCCCAAATTTATAAAAGTCCACAGCTTCACGATCCAAACCAGAAGCCACTACAATCCAGCCTGTGTTGTTATTGATAGTAAAAGGGAAATTGGGACTCATGTCAACCAGAGCATATTCAAGTCGGGCATTCTCCCCAGAATCTGCATCAATGGCTTGGATGTGAATAACAGAATAGCCCACAGGTACATTTTCCAACACTGTGGACTGGAAAGGGGTGCTAACAAAGATAGGAGCATTGTCATTCACATCCAGTACCTGGATGGTCACCAGCCCACTGATGTTGGAAAGAGGAGGCCTTCCTCCATCTTGGGCCCTAATGCGAAGAGTGTATTCCTTATTCATCTCATAATCAAGCTGGCTGACTACATCAATATTACCTATTTGGGCATCTATGTAAAATTGTCCCCGTGTGTTGCCACTCATTATGCTATAATGCACCATAGCATTGCTGCCTTTGTCCCTGTCTGTGGCATTTACCTGCAGGATGTGGGTATTTGAGGCCACATTCTCCGGTACCTGTACAACATAACGCTTCTCACTGAACTGCGGTGAGTTGTCATTGTCATCCTCCACTGTAATATGAATTGTGGCCGTGCTGCTGCGCGCTCCCGGGTCTCGGCCCTGGTCATTGGCCTCCACTATCAGCTGGTAGGATTCCACAGCTTCTCTGTCCACAAGGCCATTGGTACGGATGACTCCAGACTTGGGGTCAATCTCAAAGATCCTGTTGACCCCATTCCCGTTCAAGATGCGGTACAGGATGTTGGCATTGGGGCTGGCATCACCATCGGTTGCTCTCACTGTCAACACTTCATAGCCAACCTCAAGGTTCTCCCGCATGCTCTCCTTATACTCCTGCTGCTCAAACACAGGATCATGGTCGTTGGTGTCACTGACAGTGATTGTGAGTGTGGCCAGAGCTGTGCGACGTGGTATGCCGTGGTCTGTCGCTGTCACCCGGAACACATGGGTGCTTTTGGTTTCTCGATCCAGCTCTTCAGCTGTAGTCACGGCTCCTGTCTGGGGATCAATGGCAAAGAAGCTGTTGGAACGGCTGTCGAAGAGAGCATCCATGGAGTAGTCCAATCGGCCCGCATCCCCCTCATCAGGGTCCACGGCCCTCAGCAAGATCACAGGTGTGCCTGCTGGTCTGTTCTCCGGCACTGATACTTGGTAGGTGGGCATCTGGAACTGGGGGCCGGTATTCACATCCCGCTTCCTTCTGCTGCCCCCCTCACCTTGGCAGCCACACCCCTCCGAGGGCCACAACTTCTCCATCTCCTGCTGTGAAGAGCCCACCGCCAAGAGCCAGTGGACCAAGATCTCCGTCTTCTCATCGCAGAGTTGGCACGACAGCCCCAACCGTAACGGGCGTCCCGGCCGGAGACACAGGGCTCGTGGGGGCAGTATCAATTCTCCCTGGGGATGCAACGGCCCACGCTTGTCTCTAACGTCGTTTTCGCCTTCGCTGCCGCCGCCGCCGCCTTGCACCGCACACCTTAGCTGGCAGCCGCCCCGCGAGCTAGCGGGCGGCAAAGGAATGTGGGTGCCCGGTTTCAAGCATAGAGTCCGGCTTCTCCCTCTGCGGAATCGACCGGCCGGAACCGGGGCCAAGAGAAGGTGGCTTAACAGCAACAGCTCTCCATCCTCGCCCGCCGCCGCCGCCGCCGCCGCCGAAGCACCATCGCACCGCGGCCCCAGCAGGTGCGCCCAGAGGCCGCGGGCCGGACGCGAAACCCGGCAAAGCCATAGCGGCGGCGGCTCGGCGCAAGCGGCCGGTTCGCTCCGTGGTGACAGCGGCCGCTCAGGCAGCCGAGGGTCCCTGAAGGGGGCGCAGAGAGGGGGCGGTTCGGGGCCGTCGGCGCGGGAACGGGGGATCCCCAGCGCCAGCAGTAGCAGCACAGCCCGGCCGGGGGCGCCGCCGCCGCCGCCGCCCATCTCCCACCGCCCGCAGTCCGGTTTTCGTTTTGTCCGTCCAGCGATCAGCAATTGCGCTTCATGCCAAATGGGAAATCCGAGCCGACGGGCTCCCCCCCGCCGGGTTCTCCCGATGAGCCCGAGCAGGTCCGCCGCTGCCTGCTCTCCCGCCGCAGCCAGCTAGCTAAGGTCTAGCCGCCTGCCAAGCAAGCCCGGCTCGGCTCCGCTGCGGCAGCAGCTCTGCGAGGCTCATTTCCATAGACCTGCGGCTCTTAAAGGAGCCGCGTCAGCCCTCGCTGCTGAAAAAGCTGGTGCGCGGTGGGGCCTCCCTTCTGCACGGCCAGGTTCTCCTCTTGTGGGCAAGCAGCAGCCTCGCGGCAAGAGGACTTCTCAGGCGCCTCGCACCTCTGCTCGAATGGCTGTGATCCGCCGCAAAAACGCAGCGCGTGCACGGAGGAATCCGGCCCTTCCCTGAGTACCTTCGACCAATCAGGTACTGTCGAATCGCGGCGGGGAGGCCTCCCGACGTGGCGCATTTCCAAGTTCCTCACTGGAGAGCAAGGTTGAAAGGCAGCCTTGAGTGCTCAGTCCTGGAATCCCAAAGCAGCCACAAACAGCCCGCCTGTGAATGTGCTTTTCCTTCACCTGTTTGCGAGGGAAACAAGAGCACTTCTTTACAAGGGCTGTAAATCCAAAGAGGTTGCCCAAAAATAATCTCTGAAAGGACGGGAGGGGGACAAAAAACATGGTGGGGGTGAGAAATGGAAAACAACTGGCCCTCCCCAATGTTCTACCTTGTGAAAATGGGATAATTTCACAAGAAAAGCCATCTTTAAAAAAAAAACAACACCAAGAGGAGATGATTCTAGAAGATGGTGTTTGCATGTTGACTATTTCTGAAAACCTATAATATTTGATAATTTTGTTTATTGTCATAATTAATCATTTGTTATCGGTTATTATTAGCAAATATAATCTTATCAGATAGGCTCATTTTGGTCAACAAGGGTTGTTGGGCCACTCCAAACCAGCAATTGTTCTTTATATGTACAAGGTATGTACNGAAAATATGTTACGACGTCCTAGGCCCCTGGGTGGGGCCTGATTAGTAACCAATGCCAAATCCGGCGAAACAACTGGCCACTGTGATACAATTGTATAATAATAATAATAATACCACCAATAAAAGGACAAAGCAAAGAAGACAATAAAATAAATAAATAATACTAATCCACCCTTTATAGATTGATGTACATGCACATTAGAAAAAACTGCAAGAATTGGGTGTTTAGCAAGGTGATGTTAGGATCTAGAAGATAGTTACCATCACTTGGCCTGTGAAAATTAGTAGAATCTGATCATATAGTCTTTGGGCCTCCAGACAAAATTATAAAACTTCCCTGAAGTACAATTTGAACTGGAAAGAAGCCTTAAAGGGAATTTCAAGAAGCTGTTCTAAAGATTTTGGGATATGGGAAGAAATAATTTGACAGGCTGCAGAGTGCAGACACACCATTTTGCTGCTGGACTCAACACATTCCCTGTCTGGCTTATGAGGTAATTTAATAGAAACTTATTTCTATATTATCCTGAAGTCACTTAGGAAACTGCAGGACAGGTTCAAATTTCACCCTAGGGAAAAAAATGAGGCTGCTATAAATATACATAATAACAGGAATTTATGCTGAGGCCATATTACAAAGTGCAATGATTCCACTGGCCATATTCTGTCTCTGACATATGCAGAAATAGGGACAGGAAAGGGAGGGATTGGATAGATGTTATAAAATGAATTTGTAGCTAAACCTGGCCTATTTACTTGGCTTGTCTCCTCAATATAACCTTCACATAAATCTCTTGACCATAATAAATATGAAAAGTACTTTATCAAATATATATATAATTTTTCCTGCAATGTTGATCCCATTTTACACATCCAAGCTAGAAATGTTAGTAATGCATGGTGAAATGCATCACAAATTAATAGTGAAAAGTTCACTTTCACATATGGCCCAACCTTGGTTAGGATTAGTTTCTGAAGCACCAACTAAAATGAATTGTAAATAAATGTATTACATTTAATAAATGCAAGTTACCTAACTCTGAGAAATTTCTGAGCTATTTTCTTCAGTTGCATTCAGCAAAGCAAAGCATTTATGAGGCCTTGGACATAGGGTTAAATGATACCTCATTATCCGTACACATGCCATAATTATGCTCTTAAGTGAGAAGCAGGTGTTTGCTAGAAGGCTTGTGCCAAAAGCATGGTTGTTACTCTGTAATAAGAGCTAAAGTAGATGAAACACATGAAATTGCATGTCTCACTATATAATAATGCAAATAATTTTATATATATGAAAACTGTATCACAAAACAGAAGAGAAGAAGGAGACAGAGACAAAAGAAGTGGCAGAAGGATCTAGTCTAGAGCAAAATTCCAGTGAGTAATATATTATGATAGTAAAACTACTGTACTCGACTACCGTAGGATTGAGAGAGCCAGATTCAAATTTAGACACAGCCATGGAAGCTCACTGACTTTGATTATTTTTTAAGCCTAAATTATTACACAGGATAGTTGTGGAAGGAGAAATGGAGAAGAAGGGATATGTATGTTACCTCCAGCTCTTGAAGGGACAAGATCATAATCTGTCCAATTTAAAAAAAAACTGCTCCAAATCAAAGTTGGAACTTTGGTCTACATGGAATTCCAATTTACTATAGAACATATATTCCTATCCCCTAGTCTCTTTCAGAGTAAGCAACATTATGCAGAACATAACACAGCAAAGGTGTAAGGAGAGAACTAGTATGGCACTGAAATTTCAGGGGTTTGGCCACCCTCAGCCATGGAAGTCTAGTGTGTGACTTTAGGCCAGTCAGGCCCTCAGCAGAAACTACCTCACAGAGTTGTTGTGGTGGTAAAGAGATGATATAAACTCATACCAAATAAAAATACTAAAAAGTACTATACTGAGAAATAGTAAACCAAAGAAATTAAAGGCACATTGAGAAAAGGAAACTGCTAAAACAAGTTTATGCCAACATTACTCACTATACTTCTCCATGCCTTTCTGCAAACTATTCCTCTTCCCGTCATGTTCATTTGCCACATCGTATATCGCCTTTTATTCTTGAAACCTTTAAACTACTCACCTCTCAATTTTTCAGGATTTCACCCATCTAATTTTATTCTCAGTTGTTCCCTTCTTTTCAATCCATTCACTGTGCATTCCTATATTTGTTTTCATATTCAATTTTCTTTCATTCACTATGTACAAGCAAAACACCCCAACGTTCTTTTCGCTACCAGTCATTCTTTCTGTATTCAGTCCACGAGTCTTGACCCTATCACTTTTTGTTTACCATATGCACTTCTTAAGTTCCCCTTCCCTTCAGTTCTAATATAAAAGCACTCTTTCCTGTTTTCCCTGACATACCCAAAACTCATTTACATGTAACACATTGGGCAAAAGGACTCTTTTAAAGCCCTTTTCACCCCTTTGACAAACATTCATTACTCACAACAAACTACACATGACCTCCGTACTGTTGCAACAGCATTTACCCATACTGAATTTTTTTCCATCCATTTCTTCCATCTTTAGTAACCACAACACCAAGATTCAATTTGCCTAGTTGCTCTAATTTTTACCATTTATGTTTAACACATACAGTAATTGTTCAATCCTTTTCCTTGCCAAACACAACTGCATTGTTCTTTGATACATTAATTTTCAGATCTAATATTCACCACAAATCATTCTGGTTCTCTGTCAACAGAAAAGCATTATTTTGATTTTAAAAATACATATGCAGTAGTTCCCAACCAATAATTCACTAATATAACTATAAACATACATAACTTTGCATTTAGATGTATATTAATTCATTTGCCACATGCATGGATTAAATATATTAATATTTAATCATTATTAATAATTCATTATATTAATAAGTTCCCAACTAAAAAAGGACTCAAGATGGCATGCAAAATTAAAAATATTATAAGAACATAAAAGCAAATAGTTTTTTGGGGGGGAATAAACAAAAAAGTTCAACCACCCACCATTAATTATCATCAAAATAGATTTCATTGTACATTTCATTCATAATCAAAACTTCACTATCATTAATATTTCCTACAGGTATTACCAACTCCATCCCATTACATCAGACAATCTTCATTTGAGTCTGTTCTACTCTTCCTGTTTCCCCTAATTTTAGATATATTTGGACACATATATATTTTTCTTTCATTTCATTTATAAACATATGCTTTTTATCATTTATGTCCCTTATAATCCAAATCTCAATATTCTACACACTGTGATCACTTCCAGATAGGCCCATAGATGTTGACCTGTGCCACTGATCCTCCATATGGTCAAG